TGATATGATTTATTTCAGCATTTTTACTCTCACATGTGTATCCAACATACATGCCCAGATACTTGTACTTCTGTACACGGCTCAGTTCCACACCATTTAGAGTAAGTGTTATATTTCTTCGTTTCCTATACTCGTATTTGGTTTTATCTGCATTTATAACTAAGCCTAACTTGTGACAGGTTGTACCAAGTATGTTAAGAGCATCTTGAATTTTGTTCCCAGAAGTGCCTTGTATAAGAATGTCATCAGCATATATGATCGTCGTGACCCCTGGAGGATACATCTCTGATGCTAATCTGTTCATTAATACATTGAATAAGGTGGGACTTAATACTCCCCCTTGTGGGGTACCTAACTGAAACCTCCGTTCCTCAGACATGTATCCCTGGTAATACACCTGACCTTTTCTGCCTTGCAGGTAATCCCTTATCCAGTGTAGCAATCTCCCTGTTATTCCCAGATTGGCTAATTCGTATAAGATTACTTCCCCATTGGCTTTATCAAACGCTCCTTGTAGATCAACAAAAACTCTACAATTGTCATCCACATTAGACAAACACTTTAAGAGACAATCCGCAGTACTTTTGCCTTTGATAAAACCAAAGAGATTATTGGACATGTTATCACCTACAAGGTAGAGTAGCCTATTTAACAAAATCCTTTCCATCATTTTACAAAAGCAGGATATTAAGGAGACAGGTCTGTAGCCTCCGTTTGACTTAGGGATAGGAATGATGACAGCCTCTTTCCATTTTCTTGGTAACTTTCCCTCTCTATAACTCATATTAAACAAATCAAGTAAGGGATTAGGTTTCATACCGGCTAAATAATTAAGTATGTCATACGTTACTCCATCTTTTCCCGGAGCAGTGGAGCTGCCACTTTTTATAGCATCCAGTAGCTCATCGTGGGTTATCTCAGTGCATGCTATAGATCTTGTATTTAAGGCACATAAAGTTACTCCATTTCTAATATTTTCCCATGACTCAATGGTGACTCTCGTGTCTGCAGGTAAGGACTCCATACCAGCAGCACTTGCCCATTTATCTACTAACTCATTAGCAACTTTCCCTGGATCTGAGTGAGCAATGAATTTAGTCTTACAACCCCTGACTTTATTTACTGCTCTCCATATGTCTTTAAGGTTCTTAGTATTACCAATGGCCTGAGCAAAGTCTTGCCAGTATCTGTCCCGCGCCTCCTTCCTCACCTGACTGCATTCCCTAGCCACTTCCAACATTGTATTTTTCTCTTCATCCCTCATTCCATTTTTTAACCATGCTTTATGCGCACCCCGTAGCATTCTCTCCCATCCCTTGACTTGCTGATCATTGGAATATTTAAATTTCTTAGGTCCGTGCGTCTTGCTTCCCCTGCCCCCGTTATTTTCCCTCTGTACTAATTTCTCTATGTTCTCGACCATGTCCTCGTAAAAACTATCAACGCAGAGCGGCGTGTAATGTTGATACCAATCTCCCATATTTTGAATAAAATAATTTTTCATATCTTTCTTAATATTTAGCCTTTTCCTTTGAAAGTGGACTTGTTTTTTCCCCAGTGGTAATTCAACGTTCAAGGCAAAGTGGTCACTAAGTAGTTCCCGAACAACCCGAGCCTCCCCCATAATCCCCTGAGAGTTTAAAACGCAGGCATAGTCAAGCCGTCCTCCCCTGATGTGAGTTGGTTCATTGTTTCCCAAGAGACAGGTATCTGGATGATCTTGTAGAAACTGTAACCACTTGACCCCATTAGTATTAATACTACCCACTGTCCCAAGGCTTGTGTGCCGAGCATTAAGGTCCCCAATGACCAGTGAAGGATTAGTATAAATGCAGTCAGGTAAATAGTTAGCGTCGAAGCAGTTCCTGGATACATACAAATTAACGACAATAAATTCCCCTTCCCTTAATGATAATTTAACACAAACACTCTCTATACCTTGCGTTTTTGATGGCGGTTCTACTAACTCTGCTGGTATGGAGTTCTTAACATAAATCGACGTGCCTCTGATGTTATTTGCAGCGAAGAGGTGAAACCCTTTATAGCCATTTAATTTCAATAATCCTTCATTCCTATCCCCTGTCTCCTGGAGAGCTACAACATCAATATCATTTCCCATCACATAACAATGAACATCTGTAACCCTGTTTCTCAAACCATTAACATTCCATGACAACACTTTCAGTCTAGGGTGATCCATTATTAATCAATTCATTGCCTAAGTCATCCCCAATAAGTTCACTAAATGATAGCCATACCTTGTATAACATCTCCCACCTCCTCCCAAGTTCACCAGTAAAAGCGACATTGCGATTCTCAAGAGATTTTTTCAGCCCTGAGATGTCCATTATTGGCCCAAATGATTCCTTCATTTTATGTGTAATTATAGGGTTCTTCCTTTCACTACGACTACCATCATTCACACACACTTCACTTTCCTTCATTTCATCACTCAATATTTCATTTTTGTCCTCAACCACTATATCCTGACTATCCTTCACCGTTTTGTGATTTTCCTTGACCTCCTGAACGTTTAATTTAGCCTCGATGGACTCGATTCTCTGCCCCAGATTTTGGAGGAACTCACCAACTTTTTTAAGTTCAGCCCACACTTCCTTGACCATATTATTATGACCCTCTCTCTGAGCCACAGTAGCCACTTCACTCACCGTTACACTGTCACTGCCGGAGTCCTGAGTGGTGGCGTGGCTGCTTGTTGCTGGAGCCTGCCTAAGTAAAGGTGACTCCTTTACCCACGCATTCGTCCGGTTCACTGGCACTGTTTGGGGCAGACTGTTTTGCTGTGCTCCCGGTGTCTGGGTAAGAGCTCTTGCTTGCTCTGTAACATTCACCGGCCGGAGAACAGCCATACTCGGCCTCTTGCTACACACAGCCGAGCTCGCATTGTGAACACCTCCACAGTTGCAGCATCTGGGAACTATTTTCTCACCCAGATTCAGTCTGTTTCTACACACAGTAGAGAGGTGAGACTTTCCGCAGAAACGACATCGTGGATCATTTTGACATCTCCAGGATTTATGCCCCCATCTGCAGCATTTCAGGCATATTATGGGCTCTTCCACATACTTTGCTACATGCCTGTAGCCAGCCCCGGTGATGAACACTTTTTCGGGTACGTCACCTCTCACTAGAGCCACCACCTGACTCCTAGCTTCACCTTTAATAAGGTGACGCTTGGCCCACACAAATCGTTGGTCGTATATATGAAAGATTACACAGTGTAGATCAAAAACTAGCTATAAGTTCATCTAATATCCCCCATCTCACACCATGGTTAGTCATACATGGAATCAGCAGAGAACGTGAAATGTAATGCTGATCTATTACACAAAGAAATCACAATTGCGTGATGCATCAAATGAACAAATCCACAAGGACCGTGACGAGGGTTCGAACTTCGTGATCAGATCTATTAGCTTCCACTAGCAAAATCTGGGTACAGCACAAGAATATCTTCCAATATTTCTGAGTGTATGAGATAATTACAAAGCTCAAAGTACCTCATATCATTTGGTCTGAAATTACTGATGACAGGGCAATCACAGATATAGTGTTGGAGAGTATGTCCCAGCTCTTGTTCACATAGTTCACAATTGGAATGTTCACCATTGGTGGAGTCATTACCTGCAGCCACCTGCCATAGATATCGAAATCCCAGCCTAATTCTGGCAATTACAATGTCACACAGTCTAGTGGATGTTTCATGCTGCCCCGTACATATAATTATTTGGGAAGAGATGGAGTCAATTTACCGGGGTCCCACAACACATCAGCATCGATATCGCTACCAAATTTAGAATTTAAAGACAACTTAGGATCAGGTTAGCTAAAATCACTACTTATAGGGGATTTGGTTAGCTAAAATCACTGCTTATAAGGGATCAGGTTAGCTAAAATTGCTGCTTATAGGGGATCAGTTTAGCTAAAATCACTGCTTATAGGAGATCTAGTTAGCTAAAATCACTGCTTATAAGGGATCAGGTTAGCTAAAATCCCCGCTTATAGGGGATCAGGTTAGCTAAAATTGCTGCTTAGGAAGACTGGCAAGTAATTGGGCAAGAGGTTGTACTGGTATATAGCTGTTATTTATAAGGGTGTTGCAAACGTGTATTAAATCCTGATGGACATACCTGGGTGCTCATTAACAGTCGCACCTCCAACTACAGACCCTCCCCAGAATTCAACCACACAACAGTTGCCTAATTCCCGGGTAGCTATTTACTGTTGGGTGGACTTAGGCATTAGATGAAAACGTGCCCAACCATTTCTGCCCCGGTCAGGAGGATCCCTGATTGTGAGTAGAACGAAGGTCGAAGGTACTGACCCCTGTGCTAAGGGTCAGTATTAGTGCTAATCTTGTTTCTGATATATGTGAATAATTAACCAGGTTAGTGTTACTTAGCACTTGTGTTAGCACTTGTGTTAAGGAGGAAATGTAGATGTTTATCTCTCAGAATGTTCGGTAATATGTTTATTGCTTGTGATTGTGTCTATGTATGTATTAACACGATGTACTGAACGGGGTGAGAATAGCTTGAGCTACCTCATCCCTTTGTGTGTATTTTACCTCAATAAACTTATTTCAATGACGGACTGTCAAAGATACATGTGGAAAAAAATTTCGGACTACGCCACAACAATATTATACATAATTATTTTTAAGCATCAGAGAACTGAATAAATAGAAGTCACAGTAGTAGTAGAGACTACAAGAGAGCTTAATTATGGGCTTGGGACCTAAACTGTATACTGGAGTTAAAAGTTCCTCTAGCGGGGACATAGAGCTGAAGCTCAACCTCAGCAAACGCAACCACACTAGGTGAGTACACATTACTGGCTCTCCCACTAGCATCAAATTTAAGTTTAACACAAAAACGAGTTTACAAAACCGTGTATCGCAAAGTCATTCACTGATTTTATCGTATGTAAACACTCATTCGTGCCTCACTACACACGCACAATTTACGGCAGATACTCACGGGGTTTACGTCCAGTTAATTATAAAATCAGGAGCTGCCTTCGATACACTCACTCCGGCAGTGATGGCCGGGTACTGAATGGTGGCGTGTTGAACCCACCCCGAGGCCCTTCACCGCTGCCACACGCCTCCACCTCCCCTGATGATGATGTGACGACTTATACTGAATTTTGTAACTAACTCATCAAGATTGTAACTTGCGTAGCTAAATGAATTGTGGGGGTTGAGTCCCCGAGTCCATTATGTGTGTAACACTTTCCACTACCGCCCACAAGATGGGTATGGGGTGTATAATAATTGAACTAAACTATACACCTTCCCTACATGTCTCTGCCACCATCACCTCCCGAAGTCATCTTCCAAACACCATCACTACTTCTCACACACCCCTCCATTACCCCACCTCTCACACATGTCTCTATCACCATCACTACCAACCTCCATCACCATCACTACCACCACTCACGCCTCCACCAGCAACACTAGATCTGGTGTTTACCCAAAATGAGTCATATATCGAGAAGATAAAGTATGAGATGCCCTCGGAGATAACGATAATGCATTACCACACTATGGTATAATATGGAGCTAATTGATCAGACCAGGAAACACGTCGAGGAAGAAAATAAGCTACAGACGTGGACACTACAGCAAGGTAATGGACTATGACTCGAGTCCAGTGGAAGAGAGAACTGCATGAAAAAAACAACAAATGGGATGGAATTTATTGCTGAGAAATTGGCTGATGCAACGACCTATTTATCCGACTCAACTGTAGGTGGATGAAAGAAGCAAGTCCCTGGTTCAACGGGCAATGCAGGGAAGGAGAGAGCTGGAAAACCATGGAAAAAAAACAGAAAACTGGAAAGGACAATAGGGGGCCACAATTGAATTCATCCAATTCTGGAGACGTTGAAAGGCATTTTGAAAACGACACTGCAGCCAAAGCTAAGGATCAACCGAAGCTTTTATATAAACAAATCCACAAGGGCCGTGACGAGGATTCGAACCTGCGTCCGGGAGCATCCCAGACACTGCTTTAATCGACTGAGCTACAACAGGGTAAAAAGGGTTCTTTTTTATAAACGTATAAGGAGGAAAACAACAGCAAGAGACCATGTTATCGGGTTGAAGAGAGACGGCGGAATTTTTACAGATAACTACTAAAGATTTCAGGTCATTGAACAAAAGAACACCGTACACAGTCGACTTGAGAATGGTCCAGGACGGACCGAAACGTCGTCGTCCCTTCACCTTCTAGTGTGTGGTCTGGTCAACAAAAGAACATTCTTTACAAAATTACAAACAAGTGGAACACATTGAAATTGGTAGTTATGGAAGCCACTTCCAGCCACAACTTTAGGGCCAGATTCGACAAAGAGTTCGAACATCAGAAGAGCAACAATAGTTAATTGATAACGCAACAAGGCTAGTTGGCGGTGCATAAAGACCTCACTAACTGGTACCCGCCAAACAAACACCGAAACTACGACGTTGGTACAACGTTCGAACAAGTTTTAAATCTTCCTAACCAGTTATAACAACCAATATAGCAAGTTGTAACAACGTTCTAATACGTCATAAACACGTTAAGCCAAGATGTAACAACTTTATTACAAGTTGTATCAAGCGGAAAATAGAGACAGTTTCGGTTTGTGTTTCCAGGGTAGTAACTGATAGGAAAAGTATTGGATACTTCCTTAAAGGTTTCAATACGCAGTTACCCCCCATTGTCTTCACTCGTACATTGTCATTAATGGACAAATGTGGGCGAGATCATTCAGTTGTTGTTGTTATAGATTCAGCTACTCGGAACAAGTTCCAAGTAGCACGGGCTATGGTGAGCCCGTAACTTACCTGGCACAGGAGCAGGGCAAGAAGCACGGGCTATGGTGAGCCCGTAACTTACCTGGCACATGAGCAGGGCAAGAAACACGGGCTATGGTGAGCCCGTAACTTACCTGGCACAGGAGCAGGGCAAGAAGCACGGGCTATGGTGAGCCCGTAACTTACCTGGCACAGGAGCAGGGCAAGAAGCACGGGCTATGGTGAGCCCGTAACTTACCTGGCACAGGAGCAGGGCAAGAAGCACGGGCTATGGTTAGCCTGGATCATTCAGTGATAAGGGCGTATTTTATCCATTAGTGTACTTTACACAAACTAATCTAACAAAAGTCGCGAAGAAAACGATTGATAAAGATGCGGATAATTAGCAATCAGCTCTCATTAGTGAGCGGATCAATTGCGTGCATTTTAAGTGACTGAATAATGAGGTATAAGTGAGCAGCCGTGTTGCAATGCAATTGACTTAATGAACCCATATTTTATCGTGTCTTAATGAGTCTAGTGCAACTAGGGATGATATATTGAGTCATTTAATGTGTCAATGTGTACAAGGTTGAGCCCAAAGACCAGGGAGGGCTGCGTCTGGGTACAAGTGACAGGATGAATTCAGCGGGTTTTGTTCCTATTAAGGGGTATGTATTGTCCACGCTTCTGTGGCGGTGTGTTCACTCACAGGATGAGTGACGCTGCTATGGCGGTGTGTGTTCACTCACAGGATGAGTGACGCTGCTATGGCGGTGCGTCCACTCACAGGATGAGTGACGCTGCCAATAAACTAGCCCTCCATGTCGAAATTAAAAATTAAATGGCAACTAACGCCATCTAGTTGTTGTTTTTAGATTTAGCTACTCAGAACGAAGTGTCCATGTAGCACGGGCTATGGCGAGCCCGTAAGCCATCTAGTGAGAGGAAGTCAATTTGTGGAGCTGTACTCGAGAGGTGTTGCAGGTTGTCATGGTGACTACACGTCTGGCAGCGCTAGCGGGGTGGTGTAGGGAATCAACAATATATGAAGTTGATGTGGCCACCTCCCCAAGTGTGTGGTTGAGGGGGGCCACCTCCCCAAGTGCCTGGTTGAGGAGGGGGGCACAAGAGCCTTTAACTTGTATTAAGTCAATTACTGACACCTCACAACAATGTTTACTTAGAGAAACGTCTTCGGTATAGGACAGGACAAAGAAATATCACTAAACATTTGTTTCAAGTTGGGGAGCCACGTGTACAAATGTAATATAAAAACCACAGGTGCACATACCTAGTACTGTGCTGTAAGTCACAGTTGTCGGCGTCAGCTGAGCTCTGTGTCCACCGTACACTATAAACTGTCAGGCGTACGTCACAGCTTTGCGTCAGGCGTACGTCATCAGCTGAACCATACGTCGGCCGTACATCAGACAATCGCTTTTGGGTCTTACGGTCTGTGATCTAAGGTCATTAGGTTAATTGTAATTGATCTGATGATCTATTAACCGCGGGCAGCTTGTCAACCTTTTCTGGCAGGTCCTTATATCTTAATTTTTCCTCGGAATACGACCCGCCAAATCGTTTAACAACCGGGCCAGATTCACGAAGCAGTTACGCAAGTACTTACGAACGTGTACATCTTTCCTCAATCTTGGACGGCTTTGGTTACATTTACTAAACAGTTTACAAGCATTAGAACCTCTCGATTAACTGTTGTTATTGTTATAAACAGCCTCCTGGTGATTCGGAGCTCATTAACTGTTTAATAATTGTAAACAAAGCCGCCAAAGATTGAGAAAAGATGTACAGGTTCGTAAGTACTTACGTATCTGCTTCGTGAATCTGGTCCCAGGTACCCATTCACTGCTGGGTGAACAGAAGCTACAGTTAAGGATTGGCGCCCAGTCAATCCTCCCCGGCCAGGATACGAACTGAGGCCAAAGCGCTGGCGAAGCGCCAGGCGAGTACCTTACCACAGCGCCACGGGGGACTGTAATTGTAATAATTAACATAAAATTTATTATGATCAGAAGTAGTAGTAGAAAAAGCAATCAGTATTAATTGGGTTTTAACTTCCCTAAACCACCGCAATTTTTACGCCAGGTTCGATTGCGTAAAAACACACAAAACAATTTTCGATTATTTTCCATTTCTCTGGAATAAATTGGGAATATTACTGAAATTGGGAATATTACAGAAATTGGGAATATTACAGCCTATATTGAGCTTTCTTCAAAAGTAAATATGAGAAATAATTAAAGAATGAGTCATTTTATATAACTCCAAGAAACTGTTTAAACTATAAATTACTAAAAAGTAATTTTAGTAATAGATAAAATTATTTATTACTAAAATTATTTTTTGGTAATTTATAGTTTAAACAGTTTCTTGGAGTTATGTAAAATGACTCATTCTTTATTATTTCTCATATTTAGGTTTGAAGAAAGCTCAATAAGCTTTTATATTCCCAATTTGTTCCACATTTTGTTAGAAAGCCCAGTAGTGGCCTCAGGCATTGTACTTAATACATTGTACATTGTAAATTGAACTTGAACTGAACCTAATTCATTGTAATTGTCTCTGAATACTCAACTGTTCTTGTGCCTTATGTATATACAGTATTTTTGTCTAAATTATTATTATTAAGAGGGCGGAGTAATTCTCATATCATTATTTTAATGTTTAATAATATATTACAGTAAAACTAGTTGTGCAAGCAGATAAATGAATACATTATTGAAAAAAAGTTTTTAAATTAGGCAAGTCAGTGCAATGAATCCGTTTTCTTTCAAGCACTAGAAAATAAGAAAACGAAGATCTGTTGTTTTAAGCATAAACTTAATTATAAAAAAATGATAATAAATTTAGTCACAAGAAGGTACAATGGGTTGTTGAGATGACATAAGATTGGTATTTTTACATTTTTTGCAAAGTCACTAACGCGCATAGCGTTTCGGGCAGGTCTTTTAATCTGACATATCAGGTAGGATGAAAAGGTACATTGTAGAAAGGCTTTAATATCAACAATACTTCAAAATGCCCGCTAGTACATTTTCTTTCATAATATTCAGTATTCTCAGGTCATTTTTCCCCTATTGGTCAATAAGGTCTTTTTTTCTGACGCTCTCTGTCTTTGCATTTTTTTAATTTGTCATCGGCTTTACAAGACTGTAAATACTATGCTATGTATTCTCACAAACCCAATGTACCTTCTTGTATATAAATAAATAAATAAATAAATAAATAAATTAATTAATTAATAAATAACCGGTCTTTTCTCCAAGCCATTTTTTTTAACTAAGACTAGGATTCATAAGGGATGTTTAATGACATACCTAGTGAAGCTGCAAGCAAGAGCTGTTATCCTACCTCAGCTCATCTGAAGCCTACACCTAGAAACTCATTTATTTCATGAGAGTATACTTAACAATATGATATGTCCGTGGTCTGACACTGTCATATATATATATATATATATATATGTCGTACCTAATAGCCAGAACGCACTTCTCAGCCTACTATTCAAGGCCCGATTTGCCTAATAAGCCAAGTTTTCATGAATTAATGTTTTTTCGTCTACCTAACCTAACCTAACCTAGCTTTTTTTGGCTACCTAACCTAA